CCCTCTCTCAGCCAAAAGTTGCCATTAACTGCCAAAAGTTCTGTACATTTTACAGCCTTGATCATGGATGGATGATGTCTAGCAGACACCTCAAAGATATCTTTCTGTTCAAAGATATCTAACATCTGTTAAAAATCTTTGTATGTGCTTATAGTGTGTGTGTGTGTGTGTGTGTGTGTGTGTGTGTAAAGGCACATATGTGCTAAAGCAGATGTGTGGAGTTCAGAAGACATCCTTGGGTATCAGTCTTCATCTTCTACCATGTTTGAGATGGTATCTCTTGTTGTCTGCTGCTGTACATACAGCGTACCAGCCAGGGAGCATCCCAGGCTTCTTGTCTCCTCATCCCATCTCACTATACGATGGGAATACAGAGGCTTTATGTGGGTTCTGCTGATCCAAACTCCAGTCCTTATGGTATGGCAGCAAATGCTTTACCCACTGAGCAAGGTCCATAGTCCTAATTTCTTTTTAATGATGCTAAATCTTTTCCATGACTTCACTTTTGGGGACCCAACTTTCAAACACTTTTCTGGTCATAGTTTTTCACATCTTTATGCTTTGCTTTCATTTGTATTTCTTACTGAAAACTTGGCTAAAAGCAGCTATCAGCATCCATATCCCAGTCTAAATACTGTGATGTCCTGAAATTTCCTCATGCAGGTTTATTGGTCTGAAGATTAGCAGTACACAAAGTCTCAGGAAGAAGGCAGAATGTAGTAGAAGTTCTTTGACAGACTCTAACAGGAATGACTGCAAGTTCTGTTCCCTCTAGCTTCATTTCCCCCTGAAACCTCCTAAGCATGACCTTGATCATCCACCTTTCTACCAGCATTTTGATTTTCTGAGCTCCCACTGAAATTGGGCCCCAATCTCTGCTTGTAGCATTATAGTCCTTCACCAGGTCACATCTCCAAACTTTTCTAAACTCATATAGGTCATTTCCAAGGGCTTCTGAGTCACATTGTAAGGGATAGTCACATCAATGACCCTACTTGCTGGTGCCTGCTTTCTAATTGAAATCAGTGTCCTTTCTCTGTGATAAAATATCAGAAAAAGAAAGCAACTTAGAAAAGAAAATATATACTTGTCTCATGGTTATTGGTTATAGTTCATGATTAGCCACTGTTTCTAGGCCCGCGAGGGGGCCAGAACATCATAGCGGAAGGAGTGATGGAGCCACTCTGCTGCTGTGTGGTCATTCTGAAGCAGCGTCATGTTTCAAAGATCAAAAATTAAAGCCTGACCATTGTGCTTTACATCAATCTTTTGATATAACTTGTGTTTCTTCTGACAAGTACTGTCATGCTTATATTCTATATAGGAATTTAGAATCATTTCAGTTAATTGTGAAGTTTGTGTTACAATTTCTCAATATAATGTGAATCTTATAAATAATTTCATATGTAATGCTTCTTTGTGAATTTTGAAATTGCACTTACAAAGGATGTGTCCCTTGCTACTTAGTAATCCAACACTTCCTAATAAAGTTATGTTATGGTTGGCAGTTAAAATGAGTTATTTACATGAGGATATCACATCAGAAAATTATTTTCTCTAAAACTGAGGAGAGTAAGAACTCACTGACAATGTATAAAATTAGTTTCTGCAAAGTAAAAAATTAGCAGTGTGTCTTGAAATAGACTAAATATCATATTTTTCATGAATGACTATTACAACCAATGATCCAAATCCTCAACATTTTTAACATTGGGCATAACTAAATTAAAGCTCAGTTATTTCAGCAATTCAATGATTAAATATTTTATTGAGATCCTACTAAGAAATATATCTACTTTTTGTACAACAGTTGTGTAAAACAGTTGAATTCACTGCCCTTGCAGAACATAAGTTCTATTCAGGGAGGATAAATTAAAAAAAACCAGACACATATAGTAGGTAAGAGGTGACAAGAAGTTTGAAGAAGGACACAGGAGGGTGGGCAAGGGGAAGCTGTGTGTGGAGAATACATACATAACATAGTCAGAGAGGAATCCATCACAGGGTAGCAAGTGAAGGGAGTAGAATGAAGCATTCTTTACAGGATCAGCACATACCAATGTCCTGTGGTATGAACATGGTTGATATACAAAAAAAGTCCAAGGCGTAAAAGCCTGAGAGGCTCCATTTGTTGCAAAAGGAAGCTTCTTTGATGACAGGTAAAAGGTACACTTGTCTGTAAATATGAGGATTTATATTTAGAATAAAGTAAATTATTGAAACCTCTACTCATATGATGATTGCATCCCTCACCTCTCACCAGAGAAATTGCTTTATGCAGCAAATAGTGATTAACAAAGAAACCCACAATTGGCCAAGGTACAGCGAAGGGGCCTGAGTCCTTATCCCTGAATAAGACATCTATTCCAAAGCTTTGCCCTACAAGGCTCAGGGGCTATTGCAGAAGAGGAGGTGGGAAGATTGTAAGAGCCAGAGAAGGTGGATGGCCACAAGGAAACAGCAGGTTACTCAGATGAACTCTCAGCAATGATGTCAGCATGCATGCACAAGTCAAGTCCTATGTAAGCTCAAACCAGACAAAATGTCAGCATAGACATGGGACGTGTGTAAGAAATCCAAACCCAACCTAAGGAGCTTTTGGCTATTGATGGTGTTGGGAGTGTGAAAGACAGTATCTTACAGGAATGGGACTCTTAGAGGGCCGATTTTATTAGTTTGATGTATATGACAGTTGAAAATACTTAGTAATATACAAACATATTACAGTATTTTAATTAGCTCTCTATTTTTTGAACTCTTAACTTTTTAAAATTCAAGTATGAACACATTGATTATAAAAAGTGACTTAATCCAACATAAATATTAATTCACAGGAAGTGCCAAAATTCTTAATCTCTCTGTAAATTGTGCAAATGAAGAACTTTTAATTATCTGTCATGTGATTACACAAATGAGACTCAAAGTAACACAGACATAAACCTCAGTCAAATTTTACATTTTTATAAGCCAAATGAAATATCAGCTTGAAATCACTTAATGTAGCTTCTCCTAAGGAGCAGCATCAATAGGATACAATGACATAGACTTCTGGAGGATACTGACTGTGACTATGGAGTCATGTGCTGTGGAGACTGTGAGACACTGGGATATACTCCATACGCTGTGAGCAAGCTTGAGAGCAAAAGGTGGTGCTGAATTCTTCAAAGTTCAAATGCCTAAGTAAAGTGAGGTGGCTGGTTTAAGTCCTGAAGTCCAAAGTCAAAAGTAAGGTCAGGTCAGCTGAATGATTGTGGTATGGGAGAAAGGAGTGAGTGAGAGAGCAAGAGCACCAGAGAATAGATCCCTTTTCAATACAGTGTTTGAAACTCTTCTGAGAGCAATAAGACAAGAAAAAGAAATCAAAGAGTACTAATTTGAAAAGAGTAAGTCAAATTTTTCACTATTTGCAGATGATATGATATTATACATAAGTGATTCCAAAATTTCTACCATAAAACTGCTAGAAATGATTAATGCTTTCATTAAAGCGGCAGGTTATGAAATCAACTTTTAAAAATCAGTATATCAGTATATATTCTATATACCAATAAAAAGCAATCCGAAAAAGCATTCAACCAACCCCCCATTCAGAATAACCTCAAAAAATTAAAATACTTAGGAAAAAGTCTAATCAAAGACACTAAAGATTTCTATAATGAAAATTTTAAATCTTTAAAGAAAGAGATAGAGGAAGACACCAGGATATGGAAGGACATACTGTGCTCATGGATTGGTAGAAATAATATTGTGAAAATTATTGTCTTACAAAATCCAATCTATAGATTCAATACAATGCCAATAAAAATCCCCATGACATTCTTCACAGAGCTAAAACAAAATCATCCTAAAATTCATATGGAATCACAAAAGACTCCAGATACCCAAAGCAATCATGGGTAAAAAGATTGTGTCAGGATAGTCACATTTTAGATCTCAGATTACATTACAGAACTGTAGTCATAAAAACAGCATGTGGTACTGGGACAAAAATAGACACGTAGATCAACGGAACACAATAGAAGGCCCAAACATGAGTACATGTAATGCAGTCACCGGGTATTTGACAAAGGTGCCAAGAACACCCATGGAGGAATGAATCTTCAATAAATGGTGCTGGTAAAGTTTGGTCTTACTTATAAAAGAATGAAGTTAGACCTTTATCTTTCACCTTGTACAAAAGTCAACTTCAAATTGATCCAAACCCTCAATATAAAACTCTGAAACTGCTAGAACAAAACGAAACATAGGCAGTACCCTACAAGATAGTAAGAAAGGATTTTCTAAATTGGGCATCAGTTGCTCAGACATTAGATTCAACAATCAACAAATGGGACCACTTTAAACTACAAAACTTCTGTAAAACAAAAGAAACAAGCGAGGTGAGGAGGAAATCCATTGAGAACGAGCACATTTTTACTCAGCTGAGCTCTCAGTGGTTGAGATCATGTGCTCTTTCATAGACGAGGGAGTTACCATATTTTCTAAGTCTGCTCCTTCAGATGCTAGATGCTTAGACTGTTTAGGAAATACACTGACAGACAAATCATTGATCCAGTCAAATAAACTTAAAATTAACTACCACAAGCAACCACAATACATGCAGCTCCATCAAAGTTGACACATCTACATGCATAAGATATCACAGATGCTCTCACACATTCCTTCTGTTCTTCGTATTAATTTTGACACTGTTTATGTATATTTAAACTGACCTGTAATTAGAAAAACATTTGTGAAATGAGTAATGTATCAATATCCTTAATGATATTTTTAAAAACATTACCCTAAAATATCTTAACTATTACTACTCATGTATATTCTCTGTATAAAATATTTTATTTTTCCATGAAATAGAGCTTTGAAGATGTAAAGATATCATTTCACCAACTTTACTTCAGTGTAGACACCACCTCTAAAACATATGAAGGAAATCTGAATGGAATAAATCTAACAACTGTGAATCCCAAAACCTTGAAATAAAAATTCTAAAGATTTTGCCTCTAAGGAAAGAATACACTCTTTACCTTTAAGAATGCACTATTGACCTTTTTGAATGCGTTCCTGACCTCTTTGTTTCTCAGGCTGTAGACCAGAGGGTTCAGCATGGGGATGACCATTGTATAGAACACAGATGCCATTTTGTCCGTGTCCATGAAGTGACTGGAGCTGGGCTTTAAGTACATGAAGCTGACAGTCCCATAGAAGATGGAGACTGCAGTGAAGTGGGAGGCACAGGTGGACACAGCCTTGTGATGACCTGCAGCTGAGTGCATCTTTAGGATGGTGACAAAAATGAACAAGTAAGAAGTCCCGATAACCATGACAGCAAAAAAGACATGTAAACTCTCAACACAAAGAAGAAGCAGTTCACTAACCTGACTGTCAAAGCAAGCAAGAGCCATGAGTGCTGGAACATCACAGAAAAAGTGGTGGACCATGTTGGACTTACAGAAAGTGAGACTGAATATGTCCCCAACGTGAATGCAGGCATTCAGGAAACCTATGACATATGGGCCAATGACCAGCAATGCACAGACACCTGTAGTCATGGTGGTGGCATAGTGCAGGGGCTTACACACTGCTGCATAGCGATCATAGGCCATAGAGGCCAACAGGTAATTTTCTACAGTAACAAAGCCTCCGAAAAAGAAGAGTTGAGTTGCACAGGCATTGTAGGAAATGATCTTGTCTCCTACAAGAAGCCCAGCCATGACTGTGGGAGTGATAGCTGAGGAGTAACAAAAGTCCACCAGAGACAGGTTACCTAGAAAAATGTACATGGGAGTGTGGAGCCGAGAGTCCAAGAGAATCAGCAGGATCATGCCCAGGTTCCCAACAAGGGTGATGGTGTAGATGAGGAGAAACATAATAAAGAGAGGAACCTGCAGGCCTGGGTCATCTGTGAGTCCCAGCAGGATGAACTGTGTCAGTTCTGACATGTTTTCCATCAGTGATATCTGGCAACCTCTAAATGTTCTATATCAATGGGAAAGGAGGAATAGAATTGTTAGAAAATTGAAATTACAAAATAAAAACTTCTTTCAGTATAGGGCTAACCTGTATATCTATGTTCTAGCAAACAAGCATGGACGTCAAATAAATTGACTGTTTCAAAAACAGGTATACCATATCTGAGGAATCTTAATAGATCACTTCCACAATTTCAAAATTTTTCATGTTTCTTAATGGAGATTTAGCCATTTAAAAGTTAATGACTTGGACTTGTGTCCATCTGCTACTTTCCCCTTTCCTTATCTTAGTAAACCCGATGCTTCCTTGTGGGTCATGATACTTTGGGTATGAATTCTCTATTTTTATTATTAATTATTATTATTATTATTTACTATTTGTTCAATTCATGAAAGGTATGAATACAGAGAGGTTGACTAATGGATTTAAATATGCACAAGTGTTAAACGACAATTTCAGCTGTAGATCCTGCCAGTTTCACCTCATGTTGAACGCTTTTTATATTTTAGCTCTAAAATATATTCTGGGCAAATGAATAAAATTGAACTCACAGATGACTTTGGTCCAAACTCAGCATTTTGGGTTTCCATTCAATTAAGAGATTAAATGAGTAGGTGGCAAGTTCATCTTGTTTGCTGTGTATTTCCCTGTTTTGGTGGTAAAACAAACAAAATCCAGAAAATGAAATCATCCTTCTTGAAATAACAATAGTGTCCCAATGAATCAATAAGGTCTACATTGTTTTCAAGCATTTTCTTAGAATTTTTGTGCTTATTTCTTTTAGTACTTCTCTTGTTGACAATGAACAAAACCATAAACATCTGAGTAGGTTGAAGAAGGGCTCAATGTGATGCATCATAGCACACTTTGTATAGTACGTGTGGTAGGTGATTAAGACAGGTGTGTGTTTAACCTGCAGAAGCTTAGGCACTGCTGGTGTGTCTGCAGATTTAACAGACTTAGAGCTGAGGTTGCTGGAAGAGATGCCCACAGAACTCCATCTACTACCTGAGTTATTGGTCCTGTATGACATCCTAGAACATCCTGCTTCAACCTGCTCTTGAAGACAGTCATGAAATCTACTTTCAGTTATCATTGGGAGAAATAAACATACATACATAAAAGACAGTAAAATTAAGGTAGTTCAACAAGGCCTGATGATTGCTAGTTACCCTGTTATTATGGGAATATGACCTTCATTTTGGTTCAAGCATGTTACATCTGGGATTTCAGTTAGAGAAGCCTAGAATCTTCATTTCATGATTTCACTTTAGTCCATGTTATGGCCACTTAGATGATCTCTGCTCTCTTGTCTTATTTCATATGCCTGAATGCTGTTCCAGAATACAACAATTCTATGTCATTTTTCTTTTTAAAAAAATATTTTAACGAGTTTTTTTCATTTTATATATTTTTATTGAATTTTTTGCGCTTTGTATATTTGACCTATTAGTCAAATTTATTTACTCTCCACTACTCTTTACCCTCTATAGGCCCTGGATAGAAATTCTTGACTGGGTAAGACTTAACATGTATGACAGGTAATTTTTCTTTAAAAAATTATTCTTTGGAAAGTATAGCTTAATTGGGGTAAAAGTTCATTTTTATTAAACCCTATTATTCCCTCATTACTTTCTTGGCATAGGCAAATCATGGAGACTAAACTTTGAATAACCTGATTTTGGGGCTGCAGGTCATTCACAGATTTCTTTTGGCGGTAATTTCTCTGTTGGAAAATATTATATTTGCATCTTTTTTGTGAAGTAACAATGTTTAAGTCCCACAAAGACATTTCGATTACCAATCTTAACACATATTATCCTCTTAACCTATACAATAAGGGGTTTACATATGAATATATGCTTGTAAGTGCATGTGAGGAGACATGTAAGCTAAATAATATTTTATTTACTTTATCAATAAGGAAACTGAGTGTTTGAGAAGATACATGTGATGTTCTAAATTTACACAGGTTGTGTAAGGAAAAATTCCTGATTCGGGGCTTAAAAACACCTTCCAGAATAGCATGACTGATGCAAATGGCAAAGCACATGTATAGCTAATTTTTAGGAGACCTTTCATGTTTCAAGAAAAGATTACTTTTCACTCTTTTGGCATTTGTATTTTATAGCTTCTAATGATATTCAAATGTATTCTGAATGTGATAAAGTCATCCTCTAAGTAATCAAAGCATTATGTCTTATTCTTTGTTCATATTTGGAAACAGAAGCACCACCTGTTAATAAGTCTCTATGACAGACATTTTGACATTTGCAAATTTCTCATACTCACATTTGTTAGATCATGATTTGAGAAAAAATTTGAAAACTCCTTTGTAGTTTCAAGGAACTCATAGCATATATATGTATATATATATTTATTCATATATATGTTTATTACAGTGATTTTGCATGAATTACACTCCCACTTAAATATTTATGGAATACAGAAACTTACCAATATTATAGAAAGGAAAGAATATTCACTATACAGCAGTCATTCCAAACTATAAACTCTTTCATGAAATGTTGCATAAACCCGTTCAGAGGAACACCTACTCAGGATGCAATTAGAAGGTTCTAAGCTCTGCTAGGAAAGGGAAAAATGGTTACAATGTTATTAACAGGATCCTAGGTACAGATCTACCATTCATTTTTTTGTGCTCATATAAGAGGCACTCCTTCCTGATTTGTAAAATAAATATAATAAATATAATAAAATCACATCTCTCACATAATTCATGCCTCTAAATGAGAAATAAGTGTATAGTGTATCTCATGAAGAAGTGATCATTAAAAATCATTAAATGTGATTATATTTTTGCATGTATTCCCTGTTTTTGATTAAAGGCTCACTGTAAATCCTTAGATTTGAGTGATTATTGTTTAAATGAATAAATTACATTCAACAGGCATAGCATGCAGTGCCTCCTTTCTAAAATGAGACACCATTCGATCAGGTTGGTATTCCCAAGGCTGTTTGGAGGGGATTATGAAGTTCTAGGACTCTCTGGAGAGGTTCCCTGTGAGAATATCTGAAGCTCCTCAATCCCACTTGCATTGAAAGAAGCAATTAATTTTTCTGTAGGGATCAAGTTGGTTACTACTTTTATAAATTTATTTTAAGAGAAAAATATAAAACACATAAATTACGCATATCACCATGGTGTGGTACCATGAAAATTTTCTGTACACCTATGCAGTTTAATGTCAAAAATTGTGTTAATCATGTTTATCTCCTCAATCATTTGATATTTCTTCATGATAGGAACTTTCAAAATCCTTCCTTATAGCTTTTAAAAATATATAATACATTATGATTGTCTATCATCTTACTAAGGTATGTAGCCTCTTTCTTCTCTCTATTTGTAACAGTACCCATCACTGCTTTAAGTTTCCAAATATAGGGCCTGGAGAGATGACCCAATCAGTAAGTTTCTTTCTGTGCAAGCATGAGGACCTGAATTTGAATAGCCACCATCTGCATTTGAAAGTTAAGTATAAACAGGGTATGGCTGTGCATGCCTCTAATTCCAGTGCTCAGGAGGCTGATACAGGTAGACGTCTGTGAGATCGAATTCAGCCTGGTCTACATAGTGAGTTACAGGCCACTTGGGGCTATAGGGAGACCCTGTCTCAAAAAATTATTCAGCATGATGGCATGCACCTTTAATAGCACAGGGAAAGCAGAACAAAGGTATACCTGAGGCTTGTGGTTACCTAGTTTAGTAGAAGTCATGAGGTCCAGGTTCAGTGGGAGACCCTGTCCCAAAGATAAAGATGGAGAAACAATTGTGGAAGATATTTGATAATGACCTATAACTTCCACATATGCACACCCACACATAAACGTACACATATTACATGTTCAGATGCATACACCATCTATATCCTCAAAAGATTTAAATATAAGTGTCATTTGAATAACCTTGCCCTTGAATAGTAAGCCAGACTGGTAACCAAATGAATAGATGCCTTCTCTAGTTCTCACCTGTTTTCTTCAAACTAATTGTATTAGAAGACTCCACAGGAGGGGAGGGGCAGAGGGAGACAGACACCCCTTCTATCCAATTATTCAGGTTTAACTGCATGAAGGGGTGGGACTAAGGAAAAGACAGGGGAAGCCAGAGAGAGGGAAGGGGCTACATCATTTTGGATGGGCAGGCAGCAGTTCAGGATACCATGTCCAAAATGTAGGGGAAGAAAAAAGGCCCAAGAAGAGAATACCTGTTCTGGCCTTCCTCTGGAATAGGGGCTGAACTCAGCAGACCACCTGAGAGTCTCCAAATCAAGCGTCCCCTTAGTGAACTTCATAAATTGTGCTCTGAGCATCTGCTAGTAGGGGTCCAAGCATTAGAAGGAAGCCTAAGTGTACCTGACTGGAACCTGACTTAGATTTCTGTAGCAGCTCCTGAGTAGCTGATCTGAAGCCATCAGTTCCCTCCCAAATACAAACTGAGAGAATCTGAAACCTAGACCCACCAGCTTTATATAACCAATAAGAAAACAACCAATGCCCACCAATAATGTAAACAGAAGCAAACTTCAATGTAATTTTCAGAATCACAAGCAAAAAAAGAAGTTCACATGCTAAAATCACAACAAAAGAATAATAAAATGGAAAGCCAAGATGCTATGTGCCTACCAAATTCCACCAGTCATGTAGAAGAGTTCTACAAGGAGAACCCCCTAGAGACAACCCAGGACACAGAATTTAAAAAAAAAACAAATCAAGAAATTCACCAAATTTAAAGAACACACAAACAAATCAAAGAACTAAAAAAGAATAGGGATAAACTTCTGAATGATTTTACAAAAGAAATAGAAATATTGGAGAAAACTCAGGGTAAAATGAAGAAAGAAGTGGAAAATTCAATAATCCAGCTTGAAACAACAAGGGAAAGCCTCATGCTAGAATAAATGAAATGGAAAACAGAATATCAACACTGGAGTATAAAGTTGAAGAATTGGGCCACTCAAGC